GTCATCTGTCTGACCCCTTCAGTTTGGCCTTTCCCTTTCCACTTGACTTCTGACAGGAGGCTCCAGATGGCTGAAGTTTCCAGAAAACCCTGAAAAACAACAACCACTACATACTGTTCCCCAGGAACAAACTCAATTCCAAGATTCACTCTGTTGTTGCACTTATCAGCTTCAAAATTCTAAAAGGTTTGCTGTCTTTTTAAGTGACAAAAAACCTCCCTTGAGTTTTCACTACAACCACTTTTCCTCACTGAATGTCACCATAAGAGCTGTCCTGCAGTACATAAGGACCCTGCACCCAGAATTTTCTTCAGAATTTATTCACTCGCAGAAGTCTGCCATACCACCACCGATTCCCTCCCAAAACAGAAATAGGAAAAGTACCCTTTCCTTGCCACTGCTGTTCGTGCAAACTGAAGGAGCTGTACTTTTGCTGTACACTAATCTCTCTAATTTGCAAAATGACGCACACTCAATTACAACATTCTAAAGCTGTAGAGGGTCAGTACAAGAGAAACTGAGAAATTCTTAGTCATCAAGTATTTAAATTTATAATAAAAACACTTCAGGAACTTGGCTCATTTTACAGACTTAGTTTATATGATCATTGCAACAAACAAGTTTTCAATTTCAGAATGTTGAAAGCGGCCATTTAACAAAATCCCAGGGAAAACGGGGGAGAAACGAAAACAAATATGCATTTCTCTGGTGAGTTTGATTTCCAACATTCATTTTTCAACCCATCTGCATAGTTTTAATAATACAAAGCAGTATTCTAAAGAAACGCTCAAGGACGTAAATGGAATCTTAAATTAATTCCTCAGTATGGATTCTGTGCACTTCAAACATCTCATAGATAATACCTCCCCTTCAGGAAAATACATCCTATTACAAACAGAAATTGCTTTTATAAGGTTCTAAAGGATATGGTCTGAGCCTGGTTTTGTCCTTAAGCAAATAACACCATCTACAGAGACCTTATTAGCACAATAAAGTGCCCCAATCCTTCCTGTTGCTAACATGAACAGACACTTCAAACAGTATATGGACAGTCTCCATTTTTTGACATCCCTGCAAAGTAAGACCTTTGCTGAACGTTCCTGTAGAATCTAAATATTAGAACACCCTGAAATACTGTACTCCAAGTGCTGCATCTTCTAACTTGCTATTGACTCAAGATATGGAGCACAATACTAGATCTCGTTCAAGTGGGCAGCCCACAGTGTATATAGAGCATTTATAAAAACCCAAAAGCTTAGTACTCAAAGGTTTTTTCTCCAACATCCATCTGTACTAACCTCTTGTTCATAAGAAAATGCCCCAGCAGCTAGCAGAGCCAGTAAATCCTCCCTCCTCTAGTGCATGGCTTTCAGGAATGCTGCTATGTTGAAAAGGCAAAATTGTCATTGCCCAATGACATGCAATCCAGCAACAAAATACCACTCAAAATGGGTTGACAGGAGAACAAGTGTATGGATTTTCATAGACTTAGGTCAACTCCAAGGTGTACAGGCTGACACAATGCTATTTAAAGAAATCAGACATCTAGTGCTTCTGTTCCATATTTAATACTTCTTTGAATCTTGCCTTAACAGCTGAATGTTTTTTAACTGACCAAAACCAACAGCTTAGGAAAAAAAACCTTTTAAAAGTCACCTAGCACCTTTCAGCTACTCTCAGGGTAAGAAGTCAGAAACAAAATAACCTAAATCTTACAAAACATTGAAAGATACACTACACTAAATTATTTTCAAACTTCTAGAAGTATGAGTGTGAGCGTATTCAGTGTTTGCCTCAATATGGGCACTTTCCTAAATTTGGACTTGTTTTGGCATAGTTCAAGCTGATGTAAGTCTTGTATCACAAGAGAGTCAAGGCAAACATAAAAATTATACTGATTTTATCTTTTAGGAACACTTGCACTTTCTCCAAAGAACCAAAAAAGTGTATTTTAACAAAAAAATAATATGATCTAATGGCAGATGATGCTAGAACAGCCTGTAGAGCTTTCTGCCACCACCTCCAGCCTCACATTCCCTCTGCGCCAACTCCTGTTCCCAGTGAGGTCCCTCAGGGAGCTAAACCTGCAGAAAACAAGCTCTGCAGATGAAAAGTGGATATTTTCTGTGTGTTTAACTCCATGAATGAGTTCACCATGAGTCAGGTGAGTATCACCTGCCAGACCAATAACATGGGTGGCAATGCCTAGCAGCAGTGAAGATGGGAACGAGACTGTCTCCTTGTGGTAACAACTATCCATTAGCTCAGGCCAAGGACAGGACATGTATTGCAAGTCTGCAAATTCACATTGTTCACCACTTCTATTACCCTGTCATGCTTTTGCTGGCTACTGCTGATATTAAAAATAACAACTAAAAATACCATCGTAATTTTAAGGTTTTTAAATAACACATTTGGTGTTCCAGTTTCTTTAAAAAAATCTTTTATTTAAGACACTAGTAAATTAAGATTTAAACAATGTTCTTCATATACCTCTCTAAGTGCATACTCTTGCAAATACCTAATCTGACATGTTTCTGTTTTTTCATAACATTTGTTAAATAAATTATAGAGATCATTTCCATGGCTGAGGAGAATTTGACTAATATTATGATAAATATTCTTGGAGAATCTAATATTTTTTGAAGCAATGAAAAAAGTGTAACATGACTTTTATGGATGTCACTATCTTTGGTCTACATCCAAATGCATGTTAAAAATAGTAAGAACAGAGCTATATTAAACCAAGAAAGTACAAGGTGTTTTGATGCAAAATTTGGTTTACATAAAATGGAAAAATATTTTTTCCAGCAGATGTAAATTAAAACAGCTAAGAGAAAAACACCAAAAAACCTGCTCCCCATCTTAAGAAGACACTGAGGAGCTCGTATTCCTGTATTACGCAAGGAACTGATTCCAGTGAAACCATGCCTGAGGTACCGTGCTTAGTAGCAAAAATCACAAGTATGAGCATATGAATAAAAATTACAGACATAAAAGACTTTTCATTCACTGAGGATTTAAACTGGTTACTAAATTATTATATTAACCTTGAAGTTCAAGTGCCAACAGGACACATCCAGAATAACATCAGGCTTTTTCTTACCATGTTCAAGATACAACTATTTAAAGTACCTGAATTCTTCAGAAATCCACAACAAATTTTAAAAAGGTAAAGGATTCTGAATACACTTTTTAATCACCAGTGTACAAAAGCAGTTTTCAAAATGGCTTCATTTGTCTTACTGAGGTATCCCGGAATCCATCTGCCTAAATTTACTTGTAGATCAAGACCACACTAAGATTTCACAAATTTCTGTTCTTCTCCCTTCTCAGTTATGCCAACATCTGTCAAGCGCTATCATTCCAGAGCCATGAAAACCAGTGGTTTTTTAACAGCAACAATCATCTCCCAAAATTCCAAAAGGAAAGCCAGAGACATTAGACATCAGCTTTGCTGCAACGTGTCAACCACAGATAAGAACTGTAAAGTAGCAGCACTAGTCATGCAACACACCTGGTGCTGCAGGCTGGAAATAGCAACACCAGCAAGAAACTTCTTGAGGGTATTTGTTATTATTACCTTAATTACTTAGATCTTGTATTTCCTATCAAAATATCAAATTCATGCATGGCATTTGAGTGTATATATATTTAAAAGTTCCATGAAAGCATATTTCCCTCAAACATAGCTGGATATAGACTTTTCAGGTGTTCCTTCTCAAGCTGTAGCTAATTACATCTGAGCACTCTGCCAAAGCAACAGCTGTCTCCCTTAGGAAGGTAGTAATTGTATCATGAAAATCAGGATTGTACATGCTTCCTGTTTTTGGTCGTGGCTACTATTCCAAAGGTGACCCCTCTCCATCTCCCCAGTATACCAACATTTGGAATTTAACAGAAAAACTGACAATAAACACCAAAGAACAAACTAAAAAAACGATCCATACCAAAATCTGAAACCCGTTCTAGCCGCTGTTGTTAAGTATTACAACAAAAAATAGATAAAATTTAGTTCAGAAGATGTCCGTGACTTCTATTCCAAGCCTGCCTTGGTTTATTCGTGTCTTTCAAAAAAAAATTGCTCTACATCCAAAAATTAATCCAAGCCCCTTTTTACTATTAAAGACTCAAGACTAATCTATGTCTCACAAAACTTAATTAGTGATTGTAAGTTTCTGGACATGCAGCCCTATTTTGACATACTGGGGCAACTATGGAAAAGAACCAAATAAAAGCTGTGGCTTTATACCCAGATTACACTACATTTCCTACCATACCTACTAGTGACGTTTGGTGTATTAACCATCACATTTGTTTGTCTCATGCCAAATACTCTAATTACAATGCAAGTGGCAGCATACTCACATTAGTATTCTTTTTGTAACCTGTGGTAGCACTTCACTTAAGCATGAGGAGCGATGGAAAACTTTAAAGGGAAAAGGGTAACTAAGACAAGGCAACTGGCTGCCCTTGTAATCTGCAGTCAACTTAAAGAGCCACTTCAGGTCATGAGAAATTTCAAGATGATAACTCTTTTATAGTTCTCTTCCCACGGTCAGAAAAAACACCACATGGAAAAGAAATACTCCATGAAAAAACTATTCTTTCACTAGCTTTTATGGTAACTTGCACGTAAGCCAAAAAACGCACAAGAGTATCAATCACTTTCCTACTTAAATGCCTTTTCAAAGTCATGCACAAACTTATAAGAATGTTCAACCAACATATATCAGCTGTCTCACGTATTGTTTTCGGATATCGATATCTGCAATCCTTTTACCGGATCTAGTATCATTGTCTGAGCTCAGATGACTCAGATAAAAACAATGTGAAAACATAGTTTGTTTTCATGTTTAAAGTCTCAATTGGTCTCCTGCAACAATAACAGGAAGAGCTGTACGGATCGATACGCAAGATTACTAATAGGGACTTTTCTTGTCCTACCCAACAACACACACGTGGAACTTTCCTAACCAGGTAATACATGCCACACTTACCAGATCCCTGTGAAGCACCCAGTTTGCATGGAGGTAATGGATTCCATCGAGGATCTGGTAGAGTAGGGATTTAACCATAGATCTTGGCAATTGCATGGGCTTTTTATTTGCTTTTGAGGCACGGTGAAACTTGATAATATGCTAGAAATAAAACAAGTAAAAACATGAACTAAGTTAGATAGGTAAAGAGGTGGGTGGTTGTGTTTTCCTTTGGTTTATTTGGTTTGTTTTAACTACTAATATTAATGGAATGAAATACAAAGTTTGTTGAATTTTGCAGTTAGAAGTAATAGCGATGTATTCACAATTTTCTTAAATTGTTTTTATTCTCGGAGTTGCTTTAAAAAACAGCTGTCAAGCTTTTGTTAGTGTCTAATACTAGTTACTTACCTTCAGTAAAGGGTTTTAGACATTCTCCTCCCTCCCTCCTCCCCATTTGGCATCCTCTTATCCTCAGAAGTAAGAGCAGAAGCTTTCAAACCAGCAGTATCCACCAGAAGGAGGACCACATTCTATGCTTTCACACTTTCCCTCCTTGTCTTCAAAAACACCCAGGATGTGTTGTATATTTGCAACTCCTCTAGTGTTGCCCACTAAATCAGAATCCCAATAGACAGAGATTAAATAAATATTTTTTAAAATATTTAAGGGGGGGAGGGGGTAACTCCGAAAACCCCACACCATAACATTAGGGTAAGATCATGTTCAAACATCTGAAAGTGGTTATCTTCTTGCTTCTAAGTGTTGGCTGCATACTTCATTGATGATGACAACAAGCTGGTGGCTCTTAAATTACAGAAGTCAGTCAGCCCACTAGAGGACAAATACCACTTGAAAACATGGAATGCAAGAAAGGACCCCAGCATCAGTCAGTTGAAAGAATGAAAAATACAACTGAAAGACTGCTGAGAGATCATGAAATATTAATAAACTAATTAATATTTATTGTAAGATCACTGAGGAGATGACAGGTTAGGTTTGGTTTTGCTACACTGTACAAGAAATAAATTGGAGTGAGGCCATTCTACCTTTTCAATCCTCAAGCAAGATGGGGCTACGCAAGGCACAAATCCAATCTGAATATACTGTCATTCAACAAACAACTAAATACATTCAATCAGATGAGGGAAAAAATAAAATCTTCTTTTTGAAGACAATTCAAAGAACCATCTCAAATAACACAATAGTTTTCAATTACGTGCCTTTTGAAAGATGGAAATAATAAAGGCAGTTTGCATTTTTACTGAAAAGGATTCAAAATGCTAATCTGTGGAGTGACAAGACTACTAATTACCCAATTCTTTAAACAGGATTTGTCTAGTTCAAGATCATCCCCCTCCCCAGATTAAAGAGTCAGCCAATGGCTGTGCTTTCATTAGACCTTTGCTCCCTCCTCCACCACCCCCACTCCCATCAAGTTTGTCACTACTGTTCCCAATGAAAATGGAAACAAGTTGATTCCTCATGGTAAATGTTACCCCCAGCTGTCACCAGTACTTTAGCCATTGTCAAACTGGACTTAGCACAGGTATAGACAATATTGTTTAAAGAGAAATAAAAAAAGCAGAAAAACACAAGTAAGTAAAAAAAGCCTGTTTATTCCCTATCAACAGCGTTCCCACAGAGCCTTCCACTACTGCATGTACAACAGCAGTGGCTGTGTATTAAAAACCAGTATAAATCTAAAGGATTATCAGTTTTCAATATCCACATGACGATGAGTAAACAAGACAAGCTCTTAGTACCTGATCCTTCAGTTGTGCAATCACTCTGAAAACTGTAAATGGAATGCCTTAAAGAATCACTTCCTTAGAAAAAATTTTTATTTTCATGTTACAAGAAGATTCTCTCTCATAGCTTCAACTGGGAGTCCCTACCTGCCAGTACCATACAATGCGCACGGAATAATGACCTTCTTGTGTAATAACAATATGATTTATAATGCAGTAATGATACCATAAACTCACAAATTAATATATTCATTAATATATGGTATGAAAAATACAGCAGTACTAACAGGCAAAGGTCATACACACAGACCCATAAATCCAGTCCTGCCCTTTTTCAAGGTGTGTGTAATCAATAAAAGGGATTTCTATACTCATTTAAAAACTGACTACCACCCATACAAAACATTATTCCTTATTATAAAGGCACCAAGAAAATGAAACTGAAAAAGGGTCTCATGAGACACGATGGGACATAATAAACTACAGATATGTTGAGGAAGAACAACACACTTGGCTCTACCTCTGGCTTTACCTCAGCCACTCCAGTACCTCCAGAGGTCAGGCATGTGACAACATCAGGCTGGTGCCCTCTGATTTCTAGCCCTGCCCTCCCATGTGTCTCCCAGAAAGAAAGGCTAAGGAAACAAGCTCCTTTCTTGAAAGGGTTTTTGAATTGTAGAAGTGAATTAAAACCGATAGTTTTGCTTGAAGCAAGCAATATCACTAGATAAAATCCAATTTCCTGCAGAAGTAAATAAAAAACATTGTTGCTGAAAAACTTACTCTACCGAAGTTTATATCCATTAAATCACAAACATCACAGTTTAGAGAACTGAACAAAAAGTAAACTAAAAACCTAATGCAGGGCCAAATACTACAGGGAACTGAAAAGCTGGATTTGCCCTATGGCATTGCAATGAATCCACAGTGTTTGTGACCAAATACTACTGTAAAGAGTTTTCTAAAAAAAGCAGTTCATCCAATTTCTTGTAAGCAACTAGCCATATGAAGAAAGACCAACACACGTAACCAAAACTAACCAGCAATTTTAATGGTAATGTTCATCTAAGAAATAGAAAGGCAAATAGGTGCTAGCAAGCCTAAACTTTCTCTTATTTCTTTATATTTTCAGAAATGTATCTATATGGCCCTACCACTGTTGTGGGAAATTATTCCTCAAATTAATTAATTAAAGAAATAAATAAGAGCAGAAATAAATGAATAGTCACAACAATTGGACAAAAGCTTTGCAATCAGGCAGATCAGGTGTACAATAAGCTCCAAAGCAAAGGATGCCATAGCAGTATGACAATGCTAAAGGAGTTTTTTAACTTGAACAGTTTGCTGACTTCAGGTATGGCAGGGAGATGTGCTCTTGCCATCTCAAAACATTTAAGATTTAACAGTCTAAATCCAAGACCTCAGGTGCAGAAACAGGTGTGGGTACCAGCACAAACTAGAATGTTCTTTATACGTAAGTGCACCGTGCAAGTGGATGAGGCACTCTTTCCTAGTTTCACCTCCTGAACAGTCCCAAGTGCAGCCTCAAGTACAGCATGTAGCAGCCAGAATTTCAGACCTAATAAAGACATGGAATAATCTACACAAATTATAGGAATTGTAACCATTTCCCATTCCCCAGATGACTGCCTTAAACACTAAAACTACACTCCTCTCATTCAATAAATCTTTTTGAAGAATAGCACAGCATCAAGACTGTCCTGGAGTATAAATCTGAACCCTGACAGGTATGAAGAACACCCTGGCTCTCTCTCCAGGAATAAGGAGGTGCACTTGGACACTGCAGCTACTAACCTCTAGGTATGCGCAAGTTCTGTGCTGAATCTTACCACTAATGGATAACTGCTAAGAACAAAACACGGGGACTTCCACAATCCAGGCAAGTCAGAGGCATGTTTGTAACAAGATGACAAGCAGACAGAGGGTGAAAAACCTTCAGCATCCTCCATGTCTTTTTTTCACTGGAACTCCCCGAAGATAACTCATAAATTCTGATAGATCACCTGGCCAAAAGAGCTGGAAAACACCCAGACTCATTCAGCAAAACAAGTTCGGAAAGCCTTAATTGTCAGTGTGCACTATATCAGTCACATGCTACAGAACAGAAACCCATCCACAACATTATCCAGCCATAAATTCATTTTAATTAGTTCATTAGAACACTGTGGATTCAAGCTCTCCTTCTGATATATCTAAAACGCTTCAAAACGAAAGAAAAATGCATGTCATATGAGGTAAATGAAATTGCAAGCAATATTCAAATCTATTCAGCAGGAGTAGCCAAGTCACTTTCCCTTTCTGTGCATCCATATTTTCAGATCCCTAAATCTTAAAAACATGCTGACACTGACTGGATTCCAAATCCTCTGAGCCAATTCAGTATTCACTTTTGAGAATAAACATAATGTCAAAAATTTCTAATGCTTTTATATACTTTATTTTACATTTAAATGAGGCATCGACTTTGTGGCAGTGTTTTTAAGTCTGCACTCTGAATTCAATTAATACTTCACTGACCAACATTAAAGTACACATTCATTAGCAGTCTGGAAAAGCAAGGAAGCTATAATTTGCTATTTGCAATCTCTGGGACTACTGTTTTTACTTCCTAACTGCTTATTCCCAATTTTCAACTTGAAAAAACGTAATAAAATTGCGAGGAAAACTGGATGAACCAGTAAGTATTTCAGTAAGACCATTTTAGTTCTTGCAAAGGCAAGACTATATGAATGATAAAAAATGAAGTGAAATGCAACTAAGCATTTGGAAATAAAATACGGCGGTGATCAATGAAACAATATTAAATCCAGTAGTTTGTCTGCCTTCTGTTACCTAGTGTATTGAAACTGGTTTGAAAATTGGTTAGTGAAGAACTACGTGTATTTTCTAAATCCTTCACCACAAACAAAGTAAACATAATGCATAACAACATAGAACAAATTCAAATCCCTAGTATTTAACCAGCAGTTAAATGAGCATTTGAAAAGATCCTAATTTTAGTCTGCTTCCAAGTCAGTCAGTCTCATGCAAACATACTCTATGTTTGTGTCATCCAATTCCCAATTCCAAGAACTGCTGTTCAGTATGACACAGGTTAAAACAAACAAATAAGTCAGATCTGGAAACTTTTCACAGAAGCAAGAAGCCAGCTTACAGAGGGACCTTATGCATGCCAAACTAAATGGAGTTAGTGCGAGCTCCCACCTCAACAGACATGAGATAATCCATGGAACTCAAGACACAAGCCCCTAGAAAACCTGACTACTTAAGTTATGCTGCTTAAGGCAATACTCATTGCAAAATTACATGCATCTCCATCAAACTGAAATGCAATCATGCCAAATTCAGTTGCCTCTCCCGGCTGAAGCAAATTGTGTGCTCCCACACTTT